TAATATTATGAAGTAAACATTTGGCAAATACTTTAAGTGTCTGCTAAATATTTACAAAATGTACGATATTCGTTAAACATATAGAAAATATAAGACAAATGTTTTGTGCTACTAGGGATGAATGTAGTTTTGGTCAGTTTTTTATATTCGAAATATATTTAACGATATATTCTATGAACATGGAATTGATACTTCTTACACATAAGAAGTAGCATGTCATATACATATCTGAATGATATTTTTTGCCACGCAAATAAAAATACAAAAGGTTCATGTTTCAGTATTTTATTTTTAAATAAGTGTCAACATTTGGTGAGATAAAATATTGAAACACTGAAACATAAGCACCTACTTTTACAAAAAATAAAGTACTTACCCAGGGAATATAAATTTAGAGTAATGGTGCACGTATGTGTATTCAAAATCAAAGTCGCATGAAATCCGTATGAACGTTCACCTGTTAAGGAATGGAAAATTGATATAGTTATCTTGGGACTTCAAAGGTTTGACGACGATAATGTAACGAGAGAAGTGTTTGATTTATTTTCAAAACTCTACAAGATGTGCGAACCAAATATTTGTGTATAAATTCAGAGCCAACCATTGATGGATACGAAAGAGCATGAATGATAAGCAGTAAACGGCGGGAATAAGAAATATGTAGTCCGATTACTGTTAACAGTGAACTTCGGAACATATTCAGACTTTGATGATAAAACTAAATCGTGTACTGTGTGAAGAGGATTAACACAGCGACTTGTAAAGACATTCAAAAATTATGCAAGAAAGTTGTATGATGTACAATCTTGTATGACATTAGGGTTTTCATAATCACACGCTGAAGTTTCAAATGGTTCCGTGCACTCAATTTGGAAAAAAGGTTTATAGATATTCTCACATTTTTATATATAAATTATAGAAGAAGAAGTTTCATTAGAAACGTTGATTCTACGTGATTACGTCGAAGTAATCTACGGTCCAGTGTAAATTTAATAACGATTTCATAATTAATAATCTTAGGAAGTCACGAAAGGATTTAATTATAGGAAAAATTCAATTAAAAACGGGAGAGTTTGAGCCTATGCGAAGTCGCCAAAATTGAATAACAATTTTATAATTATCTATGTCTAAACATCTCTGTCGTAACGATTTAATTGTAGGAGAAGAAGTTCAATTAAGAACGTCGAAGTAATCTACGGGCCCATGAAAATTTAATAACAATTTTATATTTAACAATATCAAAAGATCTTGTTGGTAACGATTTAATTGTAGAAGAAGAAACTGAATTCAAAACGTCCTGTCTACGTGATTACGTCGAAGTAATCAACGGACTCGTAAAAATTTAATAACAATTTCATAATTAACAGTCTCAAAAAACCATGAAAGTAACGATTTAATTATACGTGAGAACATTTAATCAAAGACGGGATACATCGAGCCTATGTGAAGCCGTGAAAGTTGAATAACAATTTTATATTTAATAATATCAAAAGATCTCGTTGGTAACTATTTAATTACAGGAGAAGAAGTTCAATTAAAACCGTCGAGTCCACGTGATTACATCGAAGTAATCTACGGGCCCGTAAAAATTTAATAACAATTTCATAATTAACAGTCTGAAAAGACCATGAAAGTAACGATTTAATTATAGGACAAGAAATTGAATTAAAAAACGCGAGAGCTCGCCGAGAGGGCAATAAAGAGGCTGAAAATGGGAGAAAATGAAGAAGTGAAAAAAGGGGCGAATAATCGGACGCCGTGAAACGCCATTAAACGCCGAAGGGCTCTATTAAAAAGTGCAATTGCGCTTTTACGAGGCCCTCGAGGTGTAATGCACGCGGGATTGAATATTCATGCACTGCGCTCGTTTATACGACTCCGTCGAATTTCCGGAGGAATAGGACGCCCGTCTTTGTGTACCTATTTACATGTGCGAGGCGAAAATGGGGAATAAAGGTTATTAGCGCATGGAATGCGAAATAATGGACAAGAAGCGCTCCAAAAGCGTTCCGCGAAGTTGCACGCGAGTACACTTGCAAATAAACATTCCCAAGTGTCCGCCGCCGATCTTATTGATTTGCATATATGTTGGAGAACACAAAAATCTAAGAGACACGTGTTTTTTTATATCCGCAATGGTCCAGATTTAAGGTGAAGCGAAACCCCCTCCAAATCAGTCGACTCGAATACAATACTTTTTTTTAAGGGTATTAGACCAAACTGTCCGAAACTTTGACACATTACTTCTGATCATCTAAGAATTGTCCTGATACATTCAAAATTTGGATTTTTAAACGAAATTTTTTAACTCAACCCAGACCAGAACTAAAATGGCGTCGAGCTCTCATATTTCGAGCGACATACAATTATCGAAGGCTCTGATATGAGAATCGAAAGGGTCAGGACAATTTTACGATAATTTAGAACACTCTGCTAATCGAAAAACTCGCATTTGAACGGGATAAATGCAAAAAAAGTTTTGTATGCGTTTCTATGCCAAAACGATGGGAATACGAGGTCTCGGAGGGAAAATTTAGTTGAACAGGAAATCACAGATGACATTTAGAAAAATCTTCTTTATCGACGTCGATCAAGTTCCTCGACGTGTTTCACTTCACGTTAAGGTGAAGCGAAACCCCCTCCAAATCAGTCGACTCGAATACAATACTTTTTTTAAGGGTATTAGATCAAACTGTCTGAAACTTTGACACATCACTTCTGATCATCTAATAATTGTCCTGATACATTCAAAATTTGGATTTTTAAACGAAATTTTTTAACTCAGCCCAGACCAGAACCAAAATGGCGTCGAGCTCTGATGTTTCGATCAATATACAATTATCGAAGGCTCTGATATGAGAATCGAAAGGGTCAGGACAATTTTACGACAATTTAGAACACTCTGGTAATCGATAAACTCGCATTTGAACGGGATAAAGGCAAAAAAAGTGTTGTATGCGCTTCTATGCTAAAACGATGTCAATACGAGGTCTCAGAGTGAAAATTTAATTGACCCGGAAATCACAGATGGCGCAGGGGGTCCCTCTGCAGTCAATTAGGGCCCCAGAAAGCATGAATCCAGAGGATTTCTGTAGTTTATTTCGATTTCTTTATAATTATTGTACGAAAACGACAGGTGGAGTATGCTATTTGGTACAATAATTCTTTCGACTTAACCCTGTTTAATATCAAATTTCTAATTAGATTTGTTAATTTCTATTCAAAAAGAGAAGGGCGTAATGTACTTTGCGCTCGCGTACAAAACTAGGGACGTATTATACGTTGTAATATACGCGGAGAAAACCACGTACATTACATGACGTATTATATTTACCCAACCTTGACGAATACAATATTAGAGAATTTTCCTCAAAGTCGGATACAGGGGGTCTATTACGTAAAGCAAATTGAGGGAAAGTGTGAAAAATGAGGAGCTGACGGTATTACGGAAAGTTTTTGGGGGTGAAAATGCGAGACCATTCATGTGAACTGGCTCGACACAAATTTTTAAGCGAAGTGGTGAAGTATACAAGAGAAGATAGAAAAATAAGCACCGTGAACGCCATCTTCCACGGATAGACACCGAAATTCAAAATGGAAAACCTCCAGGGTGTTTTGATTTTTGGCAACAATCGTATTCGGGGACGTAATAATAACCTTCTTAGAAGAAGAATAGAATTACGTGATGCCTCAGACCCATTCTCGTTAGAAGAAAGAGAATTGACTAGGATGTACAGGTTAGTTTTTGTTATTACGAGGTTATATTACATTATTAAACATTGAAAACTGTTAAATAATTCATGCTTACATGACATGATAAGGAAATTATATTGTTGAATTTCTAACTATAGTACATGTAAATATGAATGTAATACATATTTAAAAAATATAGATTGACTCGAGTCCTCTTCTTTACTTTTAACGGCTTTCCATTTTCCCGCCTTTCCTGCCTATAACCTAACCTCTCAACAATTTTGAATTTAGAAGGTATATACCTTGATTTGCCATATTACTAGACTAGAAGTGATAGTGATAGTGATGTCGTTCATTAATATAACGATACGTAATTCAGCGAATAAACCCACGTGAGATGAACGTGCGAGAAGTGAGCACGTTCGTCTAAAATAAGTAATAAATGCCCAGGAGGACGAACACAATGTTATAGAATTTTCCTCAAACTCGGACACAGGGGGTCTATTACGTAAAGCAAATTGAGGGAAAGTGTGAAAAATGAGGAGCTGACGGTATTACGGAACGTTTTTGGGGGTGAAAATGCGAGACCATTCATGTGAACTGGCTCGACACAAATTTTTAAGCGAAGTGGTGAAGTATACAAGAGAAGATAGAAAAATAAGCACCGTGAATGCCATCTTCCACGAATTGACACCGAAATTCATAATGGAAAACCTCCTGGGTGTTTTGATTTTTGGCAACAATCGTGTTCGGGGACGTAATAATAACCTTATTAGAAGAAGGAGAGAATTACGTGATGCCTCAGACCCTTTTTCGTTAGAAGAAAGAGAATTTGCTAAGATGTACAGGTTAGTTTTTGTTATTACGAGGTTATATTACATTATTAAACATTGAAAACTGTTAAATAATACATGCTTACATGACACGATAAGAAAATGATATTGTTCAACTTCTAATTGTAGTACATGTAAATATGAATGTAATACATAGTTGAAAAATATAGATAGGTTCGAGTCCTCCTTTTTACTTTTAACGGCTTTCCATTTTCCCGCCTTTCCTGCCTATAACCCCCACCTCTCAACAATTTTCAATTTACAAGGTATATACCTTTATTTAAAATATTACTAGACCGGAAGTGCTACTTATCTCGTTCTTTCGTATAGCGAATATGTAATTAGGTGATTAAGTCCACGTGAGATGAAAGTGCGAGAAGTGAGCGCTCTCGTCAAAAATACGTAATAAACGCTCTGATCTCTAGTCTCTATGCTCTTTACGTCGATTCTTTTACTTACAAAATCTCGAGGTTGGAAAACGGGTGGAAGGCATGTACTGGAATGTCCGTAATGTTGTTGCTCGTTAGATCTCTGCAAAAATACGAAAAGCCTGCCGTTAATATGACAATTTAAGGGCAACATGAAAAGAAAAAAATATGATTGTCCTTGGAAGACAAAAGTAAAAGAAGAAAAAAGTTCAATATTTTCCAAAATTGATGAATTGGTTTAATTATCCTAACTACTCGAATTTTTCGTTTACCGACATAACCCTTACGTTTATTAGGAACATCAAACGAAAAAAAAATATGATTGCCCATATAAGGGAAAAATAAATTGCAATTAAAATAGTAAAGAAGAAAATGTCCGAATTTCCTAGAATTAAAGAATTTGAGCGTGGTTTAATTATTCAATATTTCGCAAAATAGAAGAATTGGGGCATAGTTGTTTAATTATCCTCATTATTCGAATGTTTCGTTTACCGACATAACCCTTACGTTTATTACGAATATCAAAAGAAAAAAAAAATCACTGCCCACATAAGGGAAAAATAAATTGCAATTAAGGGGATNCACGATCGACCTCGACTTACAGCACTTGTACTAAAAAAACATTTAAATTCTGCGCGCATTTAAATATTTAAAAAAATGCGCAATGACTTATGCATCGACCCAATATTTCCCATATGTACGATATTCGTTAAATATATAGAAAATATAGAAGAAATAATTTGTGCTACTAGGGATGATTTCACGATCGACCTCGACTTACAGCACTTGTACTAAAAAAACATTTAATTTCTGCGCACATTTATATATTTGAAAAAATGCGCAATGACTTATGCATCAACCCAATATTTCCTATATGTACGATATTCGTTAAATATATAGAAAATATGGGAGAAATAATTTGTGCTACTAGGGATGTGGGGATAATTTGTGCTACTAGATGATTTCACCATGGACCACGACTTACAGCACTTGTAGGCGCGTGAGGCCCACGAAAGCATCCTTTGGGATGTTCCTGAGGTTGTTATGCGAGAGGAGGAGATCGTGGAGGGCCCCTAGGTTCTTGAAGGGTTGGCCCGACAGGGAGGATATCGCGTTACTCGCCAAGTCCCTTCAAAGAGCAATTACCAATACCCTTTAAAATCGTTTCCCCACCCGAACGACCTCTTCCAGTCTCTGTACTTACAAAACCCGGAGGTCCCTGCACTCTCGCAGATCAGGGATGCGACTCAGCTGGTTGGACTTCATGTCCCTGAAATAAAAAGTAACGTCTCCGTAGAATCTACAATGAACAAGGTGAGCAAGGTCCCGGATTCGACCTCCACGTACAAACTTTTCAGTTTCGGGCACTTCTGGCAGAGGTCCGAGGGCACGTTCTTCAGGTGGGCCCTGTCCAACCTGAGCACCTCCAAGGACCTCGTCGAGTTCAGGTCAGGGAACTCCTTCAGCTCCCTCAAATTGGACAGTATCCTGGAATTTCATCGACGCTCCTGGTGATCTCGGAAATGGGAATCTTCGTCCGGTACGCTCCATTACTTCGTTATTCTCACGGCGAGAACAATTTTTACAGCCGACTCCTCCTCTCCTGCGTTTACTCCTATGCGAGAGGATTAATACTTACAACTTACGTAGTTTTTGGTGGGTTCGAAACGTGTCTTTGTGTATCTCCTTGATGGGGTTCCCCCTGAGATCGAGGAACACCAGGTGAGGAGCATGCCGAAGAACGCTCCCGTCGAGGCTGTGTATCCTGTTGTTGCTCATCGACCTGCCCAAATAATTGGGATTGGTTTTACAAGGATATGATAAATAAGTAAATGGTCATTGAATTTTCAAACTAATTACTATTTATCGCCGAACGAGGGCGATACTTACAGGTCTTCGAGGTGCAGAAGTCGCGTTATGGCCAAGGGAATGGCCGCCAGGTAATTGTCATCGAGTTCTCTGCAACCGAGAGGACCGATAATATAATTTTAATTATGATCTTGGTGATATCGTGTAGAGGGCAAGGATGATGATAAAGACCCAGACAGCAGAAATACATAGCACAGAGGCTCATGGAATATTCTTTGAAAATATTTCAGTATTAATAGGATATGGATTTACGTGCTATGGACGTTTTTTGAACATAGGATCTCTAGTAGAACAGAATAATTTCTAAATGTTTTGTGGTAATCTTTGCTAAATATCTCAGGCGATAGATTTTTAAAGATATCTCGTAGATTTCATTCGAAGATATCTAAGATATATGTTGAAAATCTTAATGGCATGTTTAGTTTGAATAATTTATAAACATTTTTTACCTTAGAATTATTATCGATGGTCGCACAGAGGCTCATAGAATATTCTTTGAAAATATTAAAATATTAATAGGATATGGATTTACGTGCTATGGACGTTTTTTGAACATAGGATCTCTAGTAGAACGGAATAATTTCTAAATATTTTTTTCTAATCTTTGCTAAATATCTCAGGCGATAGATTTTTAAAGATATCTCGTAGATTTCATTCGAAGATGTCTAAGATATTTGTTGANAACTGGTCCATCTATCCCCGACAATTGGGATAGATGGACTACTTGAAAAAACCTGGAATAGGCGGACCATATCTCCTATTAGGGCTTTACTTTCTATATAAATGGATATATGGATGAATGGATGGATGGATGTGAATATAAATCAGACTACCTATATTTTCTAAGTATATTTACTATCAAATTTACTTATCCTTTTTCAAATAGTTTATAACTCTATACTAATCACTTTTCAAGCAGTTTATAACTTTATACTTTGAAATAAACAATGTTTATACCTTTGATAACATGTATTTCTTGTGTTACACCCTGATTTAGTAACGTATACCAGAGGTCCATCAATCCCTAGGAGGTGGTCCATCTAACCCGAGTTCCCCCGGGATAGATGGACTACCGAGTAAAAAAAAGAAAAAATCATAACTTCAAGTGTGATTAGTGTAACAGCTGGAGAAGTGCTTACAACTGTTCAAGGTCATATATACATATTATAAAAAAAATATACCAAATCCTAGACATTGCGAAGTTTCAGAAAAAATGACTTTAAAAAAACATGGTCCAACTATCCCGGACTTACCCTATCAACGGTAAAGGGTACACTAGCGAACGTCATCATGTACACGTGTCATGTGGTAACCATTGCTTCAGTTGACGAGTTTATGCCGTCACTATTGTAAATATACCTGTCGTATCGTTGCAACTGTAATCATTCTTAGTAACAACGTGTACTTCAATGAAATTGTACATTTGACATTACGAGCAGAGTAATAATTTTGTAGAACCGCTGTCCTTATATATCCCAGCGATTGCTGTTATATCAACCCCAATTGTAGTAATTATAACAACATTTTTCTCTCCGTGTAGGTCCCATTAGAGGGTGAAATATACTTGGGGCGGGACTCTACACTCCTTCCAGGGTTATTTTTCCCTAGATTTATCAAGTATAAAGACCCAAGGGTCCCTGATCAGTGTTCCTAGGACCCTCTGCCCTCTTTACTCCACTCCAGGACGTCTTCCCAGACCCTAAAGACCCCTTACCCAGGTAGATGCCCATGAAGAAGTCCGCCGCGGCCAGGTTACAGACCAGGAACCTGGGAACATCCATTTTGCTCCTGGAGAATATCAGGACGAAGACGACCGTCCCATTTCCGAGCATCGCCAAGAGGAAAACGATCCACACCCCGCACCTCAGGGTCCACCAGTCGAAGAGGTCCTCGCAGGGCAAGAAGGGTCCTGAAATAATGCGCTAATTATCCAGGGCCTCCACCAAATTGCCTGGTAACGCCACTTCCATTAATATCCGCAATTGACGAGTATCAATTAATCGACAAACCAGGCTGCGGCAAACATTGCACGTGGGACGGGGTCGTCTGTTCCTCCTGGATGTTGCGGCCTTCATGGTCGTCGAAATAATCCTCGACATATGACGGCAGGTTGCCGGGGTAGGTAAAATCTGAACCAAAGTTATCCCAAAGTTCATTTATTTCTGAGCCGAATTTCTCGCTCAAGTTATCTAAAAAACGTCGTCACTTCAGTGCCGCAAATCGCAAGCCTCGCGCTCAGGGGTTCGGGGGTGTACACGGGCGCGAATAAGCAAAGAAACAAAAGGATACTACTACCCATTAAGGTGAAGTGAAACCCCCTTCAAATCAGTCGATTCGAATACAACACTTTTTTTTAAGGGTATCAGCCCAAACTCTCCAAAACTTTGTCACATCACTCCTGATCATCTAAGAATTGTCCGGACACATTCAAAATTTGGATTTTTGGAAAGAAATTTTTAACTTAGCCCAGACCAGAACTAAAATGGAGTCGACCTCTCATATTTCGATTAATATACAATTATCGAAGGCTCTGATATGAGAAACGAAAGGGTCAGGACAATTTTATGACAATTTATAACACTGTGGTAATCGATCAACTCGCATTTGAACGGGATAAAGGCAAAAAAGGGGTTTTATGCGGTTCTATGCTAAGACGATGGGAATAAGAGGTCTCGGAGGGAAAATTTAATTGACCTGGAAATCACAGATGGCGCAGGGGGTCCCTTTGTAGTCAATTTGGGCCCCAGAAAGCATGAATCCAGAGGATTTCTGGAGTTTTACTTCGATTTCTTTATAATTATTGTTCGATAACGACAGGTGGAGTATGCCATTTGGTACAATACCCAATATAATTCGAGCCAGCTGTCAATATAAAAACGAACGTCGGCAACGTAGGTATTTAGAAAAATCTTCTTTATCGACGTCGATCAAGTTCCACGACGTGTTTCACTTCACCTTAAAGTTTATATTGGGTATTGTACTAAATGGCATACTTTACCTGTCGTTTTCGTACAATAATTATAAAGAAATTGAAGTAAAACTCTAGAAATCCTCTGGTTTATGCTTTCTGGGGTCGTAATTGACTGCAGAGGGACCTCCAGGCAAAAAAGTGTCTTATGCGCTTCTGTGCTAAGACGATGGAAATACGAGGTCTCGGAGTGAAAATTTAATTGACCAGATAATCACAGATGGCGCAGGAGGTCCCTCTGCAGTCTATTAGGCCCCCAGAAAGCATGAATCCAGAGGATTTCTGGAGTTTTACTTGGATTTCTTTATAATTCTTGTACGAAAACGACAGGTGGAGTATGCCATTTGGTACAATACCCAATATAATTCGACACAGCTGTCAATATAAAAACAAAAGACGGCAACGTAGGCATTTAGAAAAATCTTCTTTATCGACGTCGATCAAGTTCCTCGACGTGTTTCACTTCACCTCAAGGGCCGATAAAAAAAATACGTGTCGCTTAGTTCTTAGTCTACTATAACATATTATAAAAGAAATGAAATCGGAGAGATCGACCTGGGATACCTTCCTTGTAAGAGAGTCGAGTCTACGCCCGTAAAGAGACTCGGGCGGCCGAGGCTAACGCGCTTACCAGGTGTAGAAGTATGAAACCGGAATTTTTTTGTAAAAATTACACGTCCGTTGTTTGAAAACGATAAAAAATATTTTATTCAAAATAACGTCCATTGCTATTTATGCATTTTTACCACCTCTCCGGCAATTTATGAATGCCATGCCAAAAAAACTATTCTTCTTTTGAAGCAGACCAGTTATCGAGCCATTTTCGTACATTTTCATACGAATTGAAGCGTTGTTCAGCGAGAGCGTGTCCCAGTGATGCGAATAGATGATAATCCGATGGAGCCAAGTCTGGAGAATAAGTCGTATGCGCTAGTATTTTTTTCCCAACTGAACGCCTCGATCGTTTCCCTGACCCGTTTTGCTGTGTGTGATGGGGCATTATCATGGAGCAAAATGACTTTGTGTTGCCTTGTTACATATTCCGGTCGTTTTTCATGTAATGCCCGATTTAAATCGATCATTTGCTGTTGGTAGCGATCAGTGTTAACAGTTTCACCAGGTTTTAGCAGCTCATAATAGATCCCACCAAACACAGAGCATTGTCTTCTTTCCAAAGCGATTTTGACTTGCAGTGGATGTCGATGGTTCGTCTGGATTCGCCCATGATTTACGACGCTTAGGATTCTCAAAATATATCCATTTTTCATCACCTGTCACGATTCGATGGAGAAATGACTTTCTTTTGCATCTGTCGAGCAGAATTTCACAAGTGGTTTTTCGATTTTCTTCCTGCCTTTCATTAAGTTCATGCGGAACCCATTTTCCCACTTTCTGAATCTTTCCCATAGCTTTCAAACGAATGGAGACGGCTTTCTGCGTCACATTCAGTTGATCCGCGAGTTCTTCTTGAGTTTGAGTATCATTTTCATCCGATAAGGCTTGCAATTCGTTGTCTGCGAACTTTTTTGGTGGTTTCCCACGCTCTTCGTTTCTCATGTCAAGATCACCACTTTTGAATTTTTTGATCCACTCGAAGCACTCTGCGTTTTACCAAGAGCATGTTGACAGTAAGCTTCGACAAGCATTCGATGCGATTCTGCAGCAGTTTTCTTCAAATGATAACAGAAAACCAATGCTGTCCACAAATCGCAGTTCGTAGGCACAAAACTCGACATGTTTAAGGTTATAGAAAAATATACTGCTGTATGAAACTTGGGTTGTTGTATGTTCAAAATCTTCGTCAGCTGTTAGGGGGAGATGATGGCGCTGCAGTAGCGCACTTATGGCCCCTAAACTGCTCACTAGCACCATCTATAGGGAAATTCCTGTTTCATACTTCTACACCTGGTATATGATATTGTCGCGACTCTAGCGAGCGTGGGCTTGAAAATGAGAGTTGATTTATTTGGGACGCTAATAAATATGCAAAAAATATCGGAAAAATATGCAAAAAATGGTGCAAACGTTGGACAGTTTTCTCCTTTTTTTTTGAAGCATCGATAGGCGGGGGTGTGGGAGTCAGGGGCACTTAGAGGACCTCTAAGAGTCTACTCACGCAATTGGGGCCAGATATCGGTCAGACTCGAGTTCCAGAGGCTCATGTCGAACTCATTGTCCGTCGGGAATAGCACCGACTCCTGGACAGGGACTTTGGTGACGGGTTCCTCGAGCTCGATCGCCAGGAAGGCGCAACAATGGTACGCATAGGAAAGGACCATCGTCTGCACCCTCGGGAACTGATCCGGCGAGGGGAACTCCCTCAGGGCGGGATTATTGAACGTCTTTAGGTGCAACAATCCCGACAGACCTTTAATCGGCAACGTAGGGAACACATTGTTCCCCAGGTTCCTGAAACGACGAGGAATTTCTGCATTTTGAGGGCTGACGTGCTCGTAAGGCGTGAACGCGTCATTTTCTAAATGACACTTAGTAAATAGGAGAAATGTTTTGAAGAAGTGTTCCGATGAGTCCTCGAGCTCTACTTACAGGTCCTTCAATTGTCTTATGTCTGTGAACGCGTCCGGGTGTATGTGCTCCACGTAATTGCTCTCCAGGTTCCTGAAAAGGGAATCTTTCTTTAGAGGTCGTCGATGGCGACTACACCGTCAAAAGTACTTTCAATTACAGGTTATCATCGTTAAAATGTAAATGTAATTTCTATTGTAACAACCCTAGTAGCGTAAAATAAATTATAAATATTTCTTTGTAATCTTCGATAAATATCTCAAAGGACAGATGGCGACTACACCGTCAAAAGTACTTCCAATTACGGGTTATCGTCGTTAAAATGTAAATGTAATTTCTATTGTAACAACCCTAGTAGCGTAGAATAATTTATAAATATTTCTTTGTAATTTTCGCTAAATATCTCAAGGGACAGATGGCGACTACACCGTCAAAAGTACTTCCAATTACAGGTTATCGTCGTTAAAATGTAAATGTAATTTCCTATTGTAACAACCCTAGTAGCGTAGAATAATTTATAAATATTTCTTTGTAATCTTCGATAAATATCTCAAGGGACAGATGGCGACTACACCGTCAAAAGTACTTCCAATTACAGGTTATCGTCGTTAAATGTAAATGTAATTCCTATTGTAACAACCCTAGTAGCATAGAATATTTTATAAATATTTCTTTGTAATCTTCGATAAATATCTCAAGGGACAGATGGCGACTACTCCGTCAAAAGTACTTCCAATTACAGGTTATCATCGTTACAATGTAAATGTAATTCCTATTGTAACAACCCTAGTAGCGTAGAATAATTTATAAATATTTCTNATTCCGTGCTACTTACTTGAAATATTTAACAAAAGAAATATTTAGTAAAGATTTCAAGAAAATAGATATATAAATTATTCCGTGCTACTAGGGTAATAAGTAAAAGTATCGCTGCTTTTGGTATGGACTCATCGCTACCTGGAGGAGGAGAAGTTCTCGCTGGAGGAGACCGAAGATGCTCTCTTGTGCTGCTTCTGCTGGATCTCGGCGATCTGATAGGCATACTGATCGGTCCTGGGGTGTCGGGGCCTCCTCCTACGTCGCCGTTCCCTGGGGCACAGCCAGAGCAGCCTCTTCCCCCACCACCCCCCAGGACACTGACCATCCTCGAGGAGTCTCGAATTGCACGCACAAGGTGGAGGCTGGTTCTCCCTGGACGACCTGTCCACCAGGCTGTTCGTGTTCGCGGGGGTCTGCCTGTTGCTGAAATTCGAGCTGTGTCTGCATCTTCCGATCCCCCGGGTGACCCTGGACTCCTCGATGGCCTTGCAGATCAGCACGCAGTCCTTCTTGAACTGCTTCGTCAGGATGGCGTAGAGGAAGGGGTTGCAGCAGGAGTTGAGCGGAAGCACGAAGACGGCGAACACCTTGGCCTGCTCCAGGGAGACGAGCTGGAGGCCGAAGGTCGCGGTCAGCGAGAAGAACGCGATGGGCGACCAGCAGAGGAAGTCGGTGAACACCAGGAGGGCCATCCTCTTGGCTATTCGAGAGTCGTTCGAGTTCCAGGCCTGCGAGCCCCGGATCGCGCAATACATCTTGAGGTAGCAGCCCATGAGGATGAGGAAGGCTACCCCGTTGATGAGCATCAGGAACACGACGTAGGTGAGAGAGGCTGTCCCGGTGGTTTCGAAGGGCAGACAAATGGCGAACTTCCGGTAGTCCGATACTCCTATCAACGGGAAGGTCGCCATCGACAGGGCGAAACCCCAGCCCAGGGTCATTATGTAACCTGCGTGCTTGAGGGAGAGACGTTTGTTCAGGTGCATTGCGTGCGTTATCGCGTAGTTCCGTTCTAGCGTTATCACTGCCAGCGTGTAGACGCTCAGCTCGGAGCTCAGCACCCCCAGGAAGCCGGCCAGTTGGCATCCCGCTGACATCTGCCAGGGGATCGCATACATCCGGAACTCGCCCAGGGTGGAGGCGTCCACTACTGCAAGGAGACCTGTGGATGTGGAATTTTTACAAGTCGATTTAAGGTTAAAGATAAGGTAATAAAAAGAAAAAGGGAATTTCATTAAGGAAAGAGGAGGGGAGGATCGAGAGGTACTGAACTTAGATACAAGGAAGATTTCTCCGATTTCATTTCATTTATAGTATGTCATAGTAGACTATAAACTAAGCGACACGTATTTTTTTTTATCTGCCATTAAACACTTTAAGGTGAAGTGAAACACCCTTTTCAAATCAGTCGATTCGAATATAACACTTTTTTTTAAGGGTATTGGACCAAACTGTCCGAAACTTTGACACATCACTCCTGATCATCTAAGAATTGTCCTGACACGTTCAAAATTTGGATTTTTGGAAAAAATTGTTTAACTCAGCCCAGACCAGAACCAAAATGGCGTCGAGCTCTCATATTTAGATCGATATACAATTATCGAAGGCTCTGATATGAGAATCGAAAGGGTCAGGACAATTTTACGACAATTTAGAACACTCTGGTAATCGATAAACTCGCGTTTGAAC